CCATCTCCCCAGCCCCTACCAATTGTCGTGCCGGTTTTGTTTCGTGTTGTTTTTGGAGACAGGGTCTTGCTATGTCCTTTAGGCTGACAAACTTGCGCTGAGTGCTGGGACTGTGCCTGACACCCAGCACAACTGTCGCTTTATTTCACCATTATCTTGGCACATGCCTATAATCCTATCTACTCAGAGGGCTAAAGCAGGAGAATCACAAAGACCCACCCAGGCAATTTGGAGAAAACATGGCTCAAAATAAGGAGCTGAGGATGTTGCCTATTGGTACACTGCTTACCCAGCATGTGTAAGGTCCTGGGATCAACCTTCAGCACCAAATTACTCTCTCCAAAAATAACTTTTTCCCTTTCTTCCGGGTGTGTGGAAGGGGACTCCTTTCAAATTCAAATAAATCTCAGATAGCCTTAGCCCATTATCACAGTTTTTAGAACCTCAGCAAATGCATTACCAGCATACCTACAGTTTTATAACTATGTAATTATACAACATAGCCTTGTCCTTTAAATATCAGTGGAAATAGCAATCTGTTCATTGTATATGTCTAAAATAAGTTCTTCTGTACAATGTCAGAAAAGTGTCTAGGGGCCAGGGAGATAGCTCAGCAGCTTAAGTGCCTGCCTAACAAGCACAAGGCCCTGAGTTGGATCCCTGGCACCTGAGAGAGAGAGAATAAAAAAGCCTCTAATAGAAGTACTCTTGATAGGCAGTTGATTTTGTTAGTCTTTAAATATCCCATTGCCCTAAATAAATCAGTGAACAATAGAGTAATGAAACTCTAATACAGGCAAAACATGAGAAACTAGTTGGGTGTTGAGGTGCACGCCTACAATTCCAGCACTTGGGAGGCTGAGACAGGATGATCGGCTTGAGTTCAAGGCCAGCCTGAACTACACAGCAAGACCCTGTCTAAAAACAACACAAAAAATTTTCCCGAATAGACCTTGAATATGCAGAGTGGGCATTACCAACAGAAGATAGTCTAAATGTAAATTAAAGGAGATGCAATCAAAAGGATGGTGATCCGGATGATGGATGGCTCTTCTGTCCCCAAAACTTAATAATCCTTAAAGAGCTTCTTTTATCTAAAGTCAGACATTTTCAAAGAAGCCACTGAGACGGGGCTGAGGACATCTTTAATGGTGCAAAGAAAGATACTTATGTGAGGAAAGGTTCCTCAGGGAAAGAGGCCATGATAAATGCACTAGAGAAATAGAAAACCAAAGAGAAAAGGAGTGGTAAGTATATGACTGGAAACACAAAAACAACTGATTTAATTTTTAAATTTATTTTTATTTTTATTTTTGAGACAGGGTCTCGCTAAGCAGTTCAGGCTGGACTTGAACTATGTAGCCCAAACTGGGCTTGCACTTGCAGCAATCCTCCTGCCTCAGCCTCCAGAGTGCTGAGATTACAGGCGTGTGACACCACAGCCGGCTATTTAACTTTCATGACAAATTATTATCCCTGTAAAGATTTAAACATGGGAGATCAAACCTGCCTCGATCTCAGAGTACACACTTTTATGTGGAGCATTCCAAATCCTTTCCTGTGAGCCTACAAATATACCTATTTGTTCACAGAAATATGTATTGTAACGATGGAAATTTTTGTTGGACACCTTCCACACAGTATATACCGACTGGTCCTTTCGTTCTAACATTTAAACCTCCCCCACCCCAATAAATCCAAGTCTAAGATCCCCCTCTTTACCGAAGCCTGTCCTCCTACTACCTCCGGATGTGGTCCACCTATGCAACCGCCCGACTCCCGCGCTCCCCACTGGAGTCAAACCGCTGCCTCTCGGAGAAGGCCAACCTACCGCGCGCTTCGTGCTCATTGGCTCAGTGAGATGCTGCTCAGGAGGGGAAAAACCCGCCTCCCACATTCCGATGGCCCAAGGGCCGATCACTCGGCAGCTCGAGGCAGACCCAATTGGCCTATACACTCGCCAGTCAAACTCTTCGGCTGCACAGCTCCAAACAACCTGCAGGGATAAAACATCCCGCCCCCTGTTCTTCTATTGGTTGGCCGACCCTTCGCTGCCCCTTCACTATCCTCCCACCCCACCCCGCGATCCATTCATTTCACACAATAACGGGCTCTAACGGGGCCGGTTAAAGACCTCCTAGGAGTAAGCAAGACTCTCTGCCACTTACCCGGGATCGAGAGTGATCACTCACACTAACGTCCGCCCTGTTCCTCTGTGGTGAAGCCGCACCACAGGTCACTGCTGCCGCCGCCTTCTGCGCAACGCCAACCGCCCGCCAAAACGGATCCTTCCTTGCGCCTGCGCAGCTAATCCTGGAACCGGACCCTTTCTCCGCCCATGACGCCTGCGCAAAACAGAACACAACTCCCGCCACCACGCAGGCGCCATAGGTTCACCGCCCTCTCGCCCGCCATTTCACGTGTTCATAGCGGCAGGCGGAACTTCCTAATACGCCTGCGTAAACTCGCCATTTTACTACACATGCGCTCAATTGGCGGCCAAGGCTAAAGTTTTGTGACAAACTACCTTCGTAATGTATAGTACTAATCACTCTTTGCAAAGTGGGTTGAATGATATTTGGGCATGGAGAATTTAAAAAGTATTAAATCCCTGGGCACATTCAAATATGAATGATTGATAAGGTAGCCAATCAAACTGGGTAACGCTAAAGTTCTACGAGAACCAATAGCTCAAAGGGGCGGAGCCTTCGTAGAACGCCCAAGCGGACGATGTCTGAGGGCGTACGCACACCACAGACCAATAGCAGGGGAAACCTCTTTTAGGTGTCCAATAAGAGCTGGAGAGGGGTGGAGTCTACCAATGGCGTAAGCGCGGAGGCGGGATAAAAGGCGAGACTAGAGGTAGGCTGCTGAGTACGCTTACTAGCTTATTCCTTTCTGCTGGTGGACACCGCGGAGGAAGCATCATCAGGCTCTCTTCCGACTGCCGTCATGTCTAAGTCAGAG